CCAGCAACATACTGTTATTTAAAAGCAAGCTGACTTGTATTAACAGGTGCAAGGCATGAAAAGACTGGGAAAAAAATATTTCCTCTCTGCTTGGTGTGGGCTGGACCTCTGATAAGTTTACAGTGTCCAGTTTTATAGGCCATGCATCAGAAAGGAATCCAGACACAGGCAAGGATCCAGAGAAAAGTAACAAAAATGATTAGAGGAATGCCTTCTAGAAGCTATCAAGATAGGTGTAAGGAGTTGAGCTTTGTCGGTTTCTGAGTATGAAGTTAAAACTATATTGGTCATCTGCCATCTTTGACCAGTTTTGCCCAGCTTCTCTGTTTAAGTGACCACATAATTATTCGAGAATTCAAGTGCTTCATTTCCACATGGCCCGTTTCACAGAGAAGACTGAGATAGCAAAAGGTTAAATAGTTTGCTGAGGTTCCTGTAGCAAGCCATGAGCAAAACTAGCATCATAATTTTAAATCTTGGGGCTGTCTGTAGGTTGTTTAATTCACCGATCTACAGCACCTCTCTTTATATGGACACCCCCAAAGACTGTAACAATGAAAGATGGAAAAATTCTCTGCAAATTTCCTTGGGGGGAGGAATAAACTAAAAAGGAATGTCGTGTCTCACTAGTGAGGCCCCTATAATCATCATCTCCTTGTATCCCCCTGGACTGATGACACAGGACACAGTCCATCTGATAAGCTATCAGCAGATGGCTGGATCCCTTATTGTACCCATTACCCACCAACGTCAATTCCAAGCAGGAATGATAATCAGTGCTCCAGACAACAGATGGAGAATGAGGAGGTGTGTCTGGTCTGAAGTCAAGGGGGAAAACAGAAAGCCAAGTTTCTCAAATCCATCAGGTTTTCTCTAAAACAAATTCATCGCATAACAACTGGAATGCAACAGTGTATATTCGGCGAGTTGCAACGGGTTTCACGAAAAGCTCAGGACTTTCTGAGTGTGTGTCATTCTACACTTTTAGCAAGGAGGGAGGAAGTAAGAAAATCAGTGAATCCAAAGCGGATAAGCCATATTTGGTTGAAGTTAGGTTTCTAATATATTGTAAAGAAGACAAAAAATCAAATAGCTACAGCAACTCTAAAAAAGGATGGGATTCAGCATTACTCACTACAAACCAACAGCTTGGGACTAAAGGGTCAACAGCACCAATTATTCTTTGCCAAATGTCCAGCCTGGATACAGCCTGCCTTATGCGCATAGACATCGAGAGTTAAACGGCATATGCTGCACCCCACTAAGTTCTGTGCCTAATCAGGAGATGCTGGCACAGACACATACAGAACCAACAGGAATTGGACAATTAAACAAGACATCCCAAATGGGATCTTTTCCTTAAATTTCTAAGACAAAGACAATATAACTGCACTCAAGGAGGGTAAAGGGCCACTAAATTAAGACCAGCAGTCTTTACAACCATCAGTCAAACTATCCAGCATTTTAACCCTTCTGCTGAGAAACTGTAGATTTTTAAGACTTAAATAGCTATGAGAATCTCTTCCTGCTAAGCCCAGATTCCCACTGTGGCAGCTCAGTTCTAAAGCCACCTGTGCCACTAACTTACTGGGTGATATTTGGTAGACAGTACAGTCACTCCATAAATTCACTCCCTGCCATCCATACCTGCCAAAATCATAAGCAAAAAGGGACTAGCCATGCTTGAAGAAATACTTATTGGTATAATTGATAGACACCACTGATATTTAGCAAGGGGTTTAGCAACCATGTGCTAACCTTGGTGCTTGCTGATCTTGAGAACACTCAAATTTTATCTCTGGCTGGAGGCTTAGCTATGAGATAGTGCAACGTCAACCATACATGCCTGGATCAGTCTACAGTCCCAGGACACGTTTGAGAAATCAGACAAGGCCAAAAAGAAACCTGACAGGATGAATATTAATCAATAACAGAACTTGGACACAAGTACTGCCGTTCCTTATGCTACTGAAGTTGGCAGTCACCCAAAGGCAGCATGGCTATGACGAGAGCCTGTGTAACAAGGCCTTGGGAATGACTATTTTGCAGACTGAAAAATGAGATAGGGAGACTAACCAATTTCCCTCCAACTTATCTATTTCCTGGCCTAAAGCAATACCTCACTTGTTACAAACTTACACTGACTCTCTGAGGAAGGCCTTTTTATAAAGCCCAAACTGAGTCATCCTGTTGAGAGACACACATCAGACATGTCTCTGCTAAGTTATCCGTTTCACTTCAGCTAGTATCTCTCTTTCCTTGTTAGGACTTCTAAATTCCACAGAATTTGCCACTACAACATAGCCTAATTCAGCTAGTTCACTTGCTAAACATTTCTTTGTATATAGCATCTGCTCTTTGGAATATATACTGTTGCAGGAAACATTTTAACATCCCTTTCTCCAGGCCTAAGCTAAATGTAACAATGTATATGAATGTGCCTTGTAAACAGTAAATGCTAGATGAATGCAAGGTATTATGGTATGCTGGGTATACATACTATTATTGGTCATTGCTGCAACCAAGTCAGAAAATTATTTCCAACCATCTGCTGTTAATTTTTTTCTTTTAGGACTCATCAAATTTTAAAAATCCATAGATTCCTGCTTCCCAGGAAAAGCCATATGGAGGGTATAGAAAGTTGGATTAATCAGAGGCTAGGTCTCCTGGTACGCCAGGGGTTACTATTTAAATGATACAAAGCAGTGATATAGGAGAAAAGGGCAAAGAAGCATAATTCTGATGGGGCTCAAGAACTCCTTGGCATGGCTCTGTTCCATGCCCCCATCCTAAGGCTTCAAAGTCCTAAAGTGCCATCATCCTCTGCATGTGTTCCCAAGCATGGCCCAGCTGAGTTTACTTTACTGGAGAGACACAGGGAGAAAACAATGAATGGGGACTGGCCACCTGACTTCCACAGAGAAGAAACTAGCTTCCTTTTTTTTCCACACAGGAGGTCAAAAGCATTTCAGGATAGCTCTCTTTTGCATACTCATCTACGACTTATGGGGACAAGAATCACATAAACTGTCAAGAGCTAGGAGGGCAACTCTGCCTCATTTTATAAGTAGGCAAACTGAGGACCAGGATTAGTACTTTCTCCAAAGTCACACAATGAATTAATGCCAGCACTAGGTCTCCAGAGTCTTCTAAGAGCCTCTAAAAATCTTTCTGCTAAAAACCATGGTGTTGCCAGTCTTGACGTCATCACACTAGCAGCAGCCAGGCTGAATTTAGTCCTTTGTTGACCTTGTAGATATATGGTTGCCAGAGCCCTCAAGACCACTTTGTAGAAGATGCACCCTTTGACCCTCACCACCTGCCATCCTTAAAAAAAAGCACTCCTGTCCCGACAGCCTCACACAGCATCGGCTGAGATGCGTTGTTTCCTATCATTAACAAAAAGCCCATTCATTAAAAAAAGAAAGAAAGAAGACTGGCTCAAATTTACACAGAAGGTCTAGCTAGGGCAGCCCTGGACTTCCTGTGAATGGCATCACTTCCCAAGAAGCCCTTTCTTAAAAAATGCTGCCCACTCCAACCCAGATGCTTACGCCACCCAATCAAAAACAGCCGCTTTTTTCCAAAGCTATCCACACCTTCTTACCATATCTGCAAGAAGGGAAGAGGTCGGGGTCATTCACCACATCCAGGAGCCTGCCATCAAATGAGTTCCTAGGAACACAGTGCAAGTATCCAAGCCATGAGTAGACAGCGTGGTGCTCATCTGCCTGACACTTCCCACAGGACTGCCCCACCACCCACTGCCACCCTCACTTTGGGGGTGACAGCTTACAACCTCAAGGTGGATGAATTTGCTTTCCAACCCAAGCACTAATTCACCTTTTGGCCGCAAGCAAATGACCTGTCATTCATAAACCCCGCCAGGCCTGTAAAATGGAGATAATAATCTCAACCTCCTGCCCCAAGCTAGGCTGTCACAAGTCTCCAAAGAATAACCTTCTACAAACATAAAGACATTAAAGATGCTAATGACAGGTTTCAAAACTGCCCCTGAATAAAACACACCGGGTTTTCCACAGTCCGAAATCTAAAAAAGACTGATTGCTCTCCCAGTCTCCTCTTCACCCTCCTCTATGATTTTATAGCTTTAGAACATCTCTCCACACAGGCTGAGTACAGACAGTCTCACTCTTGGTCCTCACCCAGATTATTTTTATGCATCTGGCAACTTGCCTTTTCAATCCCATTTGTTTTCCTTAGCACTGCTAATGGGTGGAAGTCGAGGAGGTAAAGAAATCAGCTTCCTAAGCACCCTTGGACTATGACCACAGGAGACAGAATGACAGTGATAAGATGGAGAGGTTTGCAAAAAAAGAAATACCCTCTCACCATAACGATCACCAGCCCAAAGTTCACAAGTCAGCCTGGGAACCTGCTTCAGAACTCACTTAGTAGGAGCTTGGTGCTGCTCCAATGCCTCAAAATGAAAAGGCAGACATCACTCTAAGAGCATACACTCCCAAATGAAAGAGTCATTAAGAGAAACCTGTAAAAGTATTTCCCCAAAGTACCACAGTGTAGATGAGAAAGTTTATGTGACCACCTCCAGGAAAGAGTGTCACCAGGCCCCGGGGAAATTAACTACCACAGAAGGCAAGGGAGCTGGGTCATGGTCCACTGATGTGATTCAGAAAGGACACCTGGCTGGGGCTGGACTTCCTGCTTGTGAAAGGCCAGGGCAGGGCAGGGCAGGGCAGGGCTGGGCTGGGCTGGGAGGGGAGGGGCAGCCAGTGTGAGTGCCAGTCGTTCCTAGGGTTAAGGCACAAGGTTCTTCACCTCCACTGTGGGGCTGACGCATTGTGCAAAGGTGAAAGAAAGCCAAACCTGAAATCGGCACAAAGGCAGCCACTCGCCGGAAAATCATTTTTAAGGGTCCCACTCCCCGCCGGGATGAGATGCTGTACACTATGGAGTGTCCTGAGCACACAAATGACTCTTATCACTTAGGCTGCCTAGGAAAAAGTCAACAGACTCACATGCATCATGGTGACCAGGTGACAGGGGTTGAGCAGGTAGATGACGGTCTTGGTGGCGAACTTAAAGCCCACCTCCACCCCGAAGGTCAGGCACAGGGCTACTAAGAGCAGATTCTTGCTCAGGCTCTCCTTGCCTTCCTCTGGCCGCTGGGTCACCTGCTCTGGCTGGCTGCCAGGGCTACCCCTACCGTCCTCCTTCGTCTGCCTCAGGATGTGCCGCAGGGCCACCAGGATCTCCAACAGGGCCAGGGTCAGGACCACCACACTTTCCAGCAGCCGCTGCTGCCAAGAGAGGAAGGCAGCACAGTCGGGGCCCCCATTGCCTGCAAAACTGGGGTCCACGCCCCCATAGAGCCAGTCCAGGAGGCTCTGGTAGCTATACCGGGACATGATGCAAAGTGGTTCCCCTTGACCACAGTGCAGGAGGCAAGAGTGAGATGGAACACAAGCCCAGAGGGTTGCCCGGGTGGTGGACCATGTAAGGCGGGCACACCCCACAACCCCCCTCCAGACACCAGGGCACCGAGAGTAGGGGAGGGGAAGCTACACGCAAGGCCCGGGGTAAAGTGCTGGCTCTAACTTGTCCCCACGGCTGTCTGGGGGAGCCCCCCGCGCTTCTCCAGTGGCCACCAACGAGGCAGGGTTGAAAGGAGCCGTTGGCCAATCTAAAAGGAAGGAGAGGAAAAAAAAAAAAAAGGTCTCAAAGAGGCAATTGCATCGGGAATTAGGAAGCGGGAGGGGTAACTAGCGAGGGAAGAAAAGGGGAACGGGGCAGTGGCGAAGCAGGGGTCAGGGGAAGCCGGAGGCCGAGAGGGTCAGGGCGGGGGCCAAGGAGACCCGGCAGTGCTGCGGCAGCGAACCGGGAGCCAAAAGGGGTCAGAGCTAGGGGACACGCGGAGGCCAGGAGAGGAGCTAGCGGGGCCAGGCAGGCGGGGAGGGCGACGGGGATGGCAGGGACGCCGGACTCCTCGTCTCACGCACTCGCCACAGAGGGATCTCTTACTCCTGCAACCGCGTGGCCGTCTCTGCCCCCAGCTAGCAACTTCGCCGCCGACGGGCCCCTCCAGCCAATTTAGAGCGGTCCTGGTCCAGCCTCCCGCCCCCGGGTACACCCCCAAACCCCCAGCTCCACCCTCCGGCCCCAGACGCCCGCCCTCCAGGCAGCACCACC